TCCATGAGGGTTTAGTAGTGTCTACTTGAGGAACTGAATTGTCTTTATTAGTATTAACTACTGGAACAGTTTGCTCAGTAGACATTTTTCTTGTGATTTTTTATTTATTAAACAGTTCTTTTAAAATTTAATTCATTTCTCTAAACCCTGTTCATTTTACCCTGTTTTTTTCTTCTTTATTCTTTTCAGTTCTTTATAAGTATATAGTTTTTATTGTAATTTAATTATTTACTTAATATTTTTGACGTATTCATTAAAAACAAAAAATTAGAATGAGCAAGAAAATAATTGGTTTAGAAAACAACAGTATTCATGAATACTCCAAGTGTATCTACGGCATTTTCTGTTAAGGCTTGGTCAGCAATTCTTTGTAAATGTTTTTTAGGATCAATTTTACCTACTTGTTGTAAATCTCTTAGTTTTGGATCTAAGGCTTCATCTTGTATATTTTGGTTATATTGTTTCATTAATCCAATCAATTTATCAATAGTTTGAATGTTTGAATCTTTACGTTGTGAGGATTCAACTTCTAATGAATCTGTCCATTTTTTCTTTTGTAAATTCAATAACATTCTTTCATCTATTTCGTTCTTTGAGAATTCAATTGGCATAGAATAATATTGTTTTCCTAAACCTCGGACTTTGGCTTGTGAAGTTGGTTTAGTTAAATGACCTTGGTTTGAAGTAACTTGTCTTGGTTCAACTCCTAAGTTGAATTGATTCTGAATAGTTCTAAATGCATCAATGACAACTTTTCCTTTAACTGATTGAATTGGATCTACAACAACAGCGACACACCTTTCATTTAATTTTTCAAATGATTGTTGTGTAGAAATATCTATAGAAGATAACCAACATCCAAATCCAGGGTGACTGTGATACCACCCAACAATTGATTCTTTTCTTCCTGTTTGTCTTAACATTTCGATCATTGTTGTTTGATACACTTCATCAACTGCTTCAACAGAAACTCCTGTACCATTTTGTGGCATAGCAAATACATCAACCACACGAACAGTGTAATCGTCAACATATTCTCCAAGCATCAACCCCATAACTTCAACAGGGACACCAGCCCTTCCATGTTTTAACATTTTTAATAAAGCAAGAGAAGAGATGTGAACAGTTTCACTTGTATCAGGGAGAGGCATATCTCCAGAAATTGGTCTTCTTCCACCAAAAGAGAACATTGTTATTAAAATTGTTAGTTCTATTTAACTTTTTCTATCTCAACTAATCATAATTTATGATGAAGTGTTAGGGTTAATCAGGGTTTCTAAAAAATAAAGAATAACAATTATTGATTATTTAAAAAAGATTTTAATAAGAAAGAAGAACTAAAAAATAATTTTAATAAAATTAGTATTAAATGACAATTCTTTTAGGTATAATCATTTGTTTAATTCTATATGTTTGTATCCTTATTCTCTACAGTCAAGGAATGGGAAGTAATTGGCACACACCAAACATGAAAGGGAAAGTAGTCTGTATTACTGGAGGTAGTAGTGGAATAGGTTTAGAGATAGTGAAATATTTAAAACAATTAAATGCAACTGTTATAGTTCTTGGAAGAAGTGATTGTTTAATTTCAGGAATAAAGAATATTTATTTAGACCTTAGTGATTTAAATAAAGTAAAAGAAACTATTAAAGAAATTCATTCTGTTATAGATCATATTGATATTCTTATTAATAATGCTGGATGTGTTGCTATTCCATCAAATATTAAAACAGCACAAGGGTATGATATTACAGTTGGAGTTAATCATATTGGACACGCACTATTAACTTTAGGAATATTAGACCTTATTAAAAAAAGTCAATCCCCTAGAATTATTGTTATGTCTTCTTTATCTGCAGCTGATTGGCATCAAAAAGAAATTCCTTTTAATTGGAAAAATGAAGAATGGGATCCAGAAATACAATACCCAGCAAGTAAATTAGCTAATTCATTATTTGCAATTAAACTTGCTCAATTAAATCCTGATATTGAGTGTGTTCATGTTCATCCTGGATTTGTTTGGAGTAAGTTTTGGAGATATATGACACCGGTAATGAAATTTATTTACACAGTTATCCTCTTTTTATTCTCGAGAACTCCATTACAAGGAGCTCAAACTGCAATTTATTGTGCATTAGCACCAAATATTGAAACTGGAAAATATTATGCAGATTGTATTCCTTGTGAAGTAAATCCATTATGTGATGATCAAAATGTTATTGACTCATTGTGGGAGAAAACAAAGAATGCGATCGAAAATAAATAATTTAAAATTTCTTTTTTGGTTATGCCCATTTTCATATCATAAGTTAATTAAGTATTAATAAATTGTTCTTTATAGTTTATTACTTTGTTAAGGTTAGTTCTTCTTTAGTCCTACAAAGTGTTTGGTTGTGATAGAGACAGTGTTGAATGAAATCTATCTTATTCGTAATTACAAGGTTTTTGATTTCATTGGTGTTGTTAGTTTCAACCCTTAATTCATCTTTTAATTTGATACTTTCAACACTTACTAACTCGTTGATAGAAATTACTTCTGTTTTAATGAAAACAATAAGATAATAAATAGAAACAAAGATAACACGAAATGAAGAATGAATAGAAATACAACGTATAGTAATTTAATTGAATCATCTTGTAAATACATTGTATTGTAATCAGTACAAGAACATTAATAAATGATTTGACAATTATTATTTATAAACACTATTCATTGTATATATTCATTGTTTATTATCTCTTCTTTTATTTACAATGTTGAAATTAGATAAATTACAATCACAAAAAAAAATATAAGAATGTTTTTTAATTTTCATGTTATATATTACAAATTACCAATATGGTGAAAATGCCGAATGTTATTATAATAGATCTCATATTTATTTATGAGTTCAATTCATTCTAAGTTGTTCCATTTTTATTTTTATGTTTTTTATAACAAATTTAAAATAAATGTTATTTTTATAATAATATTTATTTATTTATTTTGTTATTTTAATTATTGAAATGTTTTATTTTTTTTTATGATAATGTTATTTATTTCTTCATTTTGTGTCATTGTATATATTTATTTATACTTCTTTAATCATTTGTGTTATAATAATAATAATAATTGATCAAATAAAATAGATCA